CGACTGTCCCACAGGGTCGGATTTGGGGTTCCTTAAACATTTGAAGAGGCAGAGCTTCCTTGTAATTTTCGTAATTTTGTCCCTAGTTAATGGGTCATTCAGAGCCTACCCAGGCAATTTGTTGAGAGTTTGGGCAGTTAATGATCATAACCCTGACCTTCACATTAACCTAGCCGTCTCTTGTCAAGGGCTCTCATGATCTTCAGGTAATAGCCACTGCTCCCATGAGTTTCCATCTTTGTTGTTTTCTCTCTCTCTCTCTCTCCTCCCCTCCCTTCCTCCCTCCCTCCCCCCTCCCCCCTCTCTAAGCCAGGTGGATTCACAAGCCCAAGCCCCTTTGAACTTCCATCCCTCTCTTGTCTAGAGAATTTCCATGTTGCCAAGCTTTGTGTGAGGCACCTTTGTCCCTTCTCCCTAGGGCTCAGCTCTCCCTGTGCTTTCCCTCCTGGTCAGTCACTTGGTTATTACTCTCTGGTAGCCTCTAGATTAGAGCTGAGAAAGGGGAGATGTCCATTTGTCAGTTTCACCAGGATTTGTTAGGAGAGGATGGTATTGGATCAAGAGAAGCTGGGACCTTGTTGGCCAGCAGTTAGCAGTGGTCGGTCCCAAAGGGAAGTTGTCTGTAGCTTTTCCTTAGAGAAATGCTTCCCAGTGAGCATTCAGCCAGTAATGTAGAGTTAATCTATGCAGAGGCACATTCATGCTAGCTGGTTCTTAAAACCGGTAGCTACTGTCTGTCTGATACTTCCTCTGTGCCTGCCTCCATGTCAAGGGCTTTGTCCATCTTATCTCCTTTAACCCCTTGAGGTGGGTACTATAGTTATCCCATTCTGCAGATGAGAAAACCAAGGCTGGGGTTATGTATACCAAGAGTATACTCTGGGGAAGAGGAAGAGCTAGTTGAGTTACTTGGTCTGCAGAAAAAAAGCCAGATGCCCAAATCTGTAGGCTGGTAGGTGGGGCCAGCCTACTTTGAAACTCGGAAAAAGTACTGTCTTTGCCAAGCCCATGGTATGTGATTGAACCCAACATGCTTGTCTGTCCTGTGGCTGAATGGGCATCTAGATATATTCTTTGACCTGAGAGGAGGAGCTGGCTGTCACCAGCTCTGCTAATGGAAACTTAAATGCCCCGGAAGTTTAGTCTAGGAGTTGAAAGGCAGATCTGACTCTAGGCAAGGTGGTGACTTCTTCCCAATTCCTCCCAGGTGCCTGTTGCAGGCACGGCTGGTTTCCTGTCCCCGATGGCTCTGGCAGGTCGGCCCTGCTGCAGCCGTCCTGGGGCATTGCTTTGGGAATTAGGTGGTCTCTGCCCAGGCCGAACGCTGCAGGGTTTCTCCTGCATGCTGGTCTCAAGAGAGCTTGATTGAAATGATTAGCGCAGCGGGGCATCCCCCACTTTTCTTGGGGGATTATGTCGCAGTCTATTAAGCGTGCTCCCTCGGTATTTAATCCCGCTCTGACATGGATTTTGCTGGCAGCCTGTGAAGTGGCGCTGCTTAAACCTGGTTGCTGTTTTGTGGAGACTGCCTCTGTGCAGTCCTTTGGTGGCCCTCAGGGTTTCTACCTGTCCCACTTAGTTTGATTTTCTTTCTGTTGGACAGTCCGAAGGAAATAGGCCCCGTATTCATGCAGGACATTTAGCTGGGACTCCCCATTGTTAGCAGAGGGCATCCTCTCAGGTGAACAGAAGTTTGCCTAGGGCTCTGAGGAGTTTTGAGAGCATGGGGCGGCCAGATGGCACAGAATGCACAGTGGTCAATCGAATGTGATTGTCCCAGCGTCCTCTCCAGTATCCTGTTCCCCTTCACAAATCACCAGAGATTTTTTAAAATCCTATTTCTTTTTCAGCTTCTCCCAAATCTAAGGAAACAAAGTTTCCAGTATTCACTAACCCGTTTTGTAAAACATTGTGTGAAAAAGTCCTATGGTAGTTTCTCAGCCCAGATATGATGGGGACTGTTGATATAGATAACACAGAGAACTCTTTGGCTGAAAGTCTTTGTGGCGTGGACCTGTCTTGGTAAGTCCTTTGGCATTTGGAAGGCTTGCTTCTGCAATCATTCCTGATGATGGCAAAGGCTTTGGAGTTGCTTGGGTGGTCTTTTGTGGTCCCACCCTCACGTGTCAGATGTAGAGCAGCCTGTGCCTTGGTCTAAATCAGTGTGCAGCAGCAGGAGAGGGATGGAGGCCTAAGCTGACCCTGGGCAAGACCTTCGCCTGCTGTGCCCGGGGTCCTTGCCCAGGAGCGGGCACGGGTGCGAGAGTGTCGGGAGGTGCCAGCCACCCTGGCTCAGCTGCCAGAGACCTGTATCACAGAGGCTTCCTTGTGGACTGGATTTCTTGTAATTTGTATCTTTTCCTGTTTGGAGAATGCAGAGAAGGAGGTGCTCAAGGACCTGGCACAGAGAAGATGCTCAGGAATGTTTGTGGCACTAAGTAGGCGGTGATGAGAGGTCTCCCCCTTCCGCCTCACTGAGCAGGAAGGACAGTGGGCTTAGGGGCGGGAAACAAGTCCATTCTGGTGCCTTTCGTGTCACCCCGGCTGTCTGACCTCGACTAATCCCCCCTCACCTACTCTCCCTCCTGTTTGAAATGAAAGGGTGATGGCGTCCCACTATCCCTTCTGCTCTGCGGGCTTTCTCCTGGTTCCAGAAAGCTCTTTTGCTGTTGGCAGTCTTGGGCTTTATGTCTTTTATCTGGACTTCTAGGAGCCTAGGCAGTTCCTCTCGAACTGTGTTCCCTCCATCCCTGTCCCGGGATTCTGGGTACTTTATGCCCGTGTCCCTCTCAGCTTTTTCCTTTCCAGACTGAAGTGTTGAGAGGGATGCTCTTTATAGCTTTTCTTCGTGGATACCAGCCTCTACCTCTCCCGATCTGTCTCTGGGCCTCCCCCAGCTCCCTGTGTGTCTGCCTGTCTGGTCTGTCTGGCTCTCCCGGTGTTTCTCCTGAGGTGTGGTCACCTGGCCCGCCCCAGTGTTCCCCTCAGGCACACATCTTCTTGTCTCCAGAAACCACTCTCCCAGTGACTTCCCCAACTCCAGACAGCAGGAATTGGCCGTGCCGTTGAATAACAGCGTCTCCCTTGGGTTGGTGAGCTGGCCAAAACCAGTTTCCCCAGTCAAGTGGCACTTTTGCTGTGGGTGAGGCCATTCCAGCAGAATTGCCTTCGTCCCAGGAGAGCTTTGCTTGGTGCCACCCCTCGTTCTGTGGGCCACACCCCAGCCGGAAGGTGCCTCACTTGTCAGGAATGCTGCCTTCTCCAAAGTTTACTGGGCGTCTTCCTGTGGGGCCAGCCCAGGGCAACCTGGCCCTTTACAAGGAAACAACATGAGAAGCACATGGGTCATCTCTCTGTGTTGTTTCCTTTGAAACATTCAAGTTCTGTGTCTAGCATTCTGTGTTTGAGAGCTGCCCCTGACCTCTTGTGGGGCTGGGCCACTTGTTTTAAGCTGATCTGACCCCTCTGAACTGGGAATGAGAGTGTACACAGCCCTTCTTGAAGGTTTTGATGTTTAGGGAGCAGCACCAAGGCAGACAAAGGGAGCGACACAGTGGAAGGTCTGTCAGTTCGTTGTTTCCCCGCAAAGCCTGAGAGAGCCGGGCGCTCCCGGGCCAGCTGCCTGATGAGCTTGTTTCCACCCCGACCCTGGGCCCATCTGAGCGGCCGAGGCCTTTTCTGCCCAGATTAGTTCCCTTTGGTAGCCTTTTGGGCCCCTTCATTACATTACTCTGTTATCTTCATTTGGTTTGGGTCCTGTTTCATTGATAAAGAAGTCATTTTTTTATGCCCTCATACATACTTTTCCATGTCATGCATGAGGAACTTTGGAAACATTTTTAAATTTTTATTTATTTTTTTAAAACCAGCTTCTGTGCTTGTGAGTACTGTGTCTGTGGGTTTGGCTCAAAAACTGGATTCTTTTCCCAGCTATTCCTTTCTTAACCCTGTTTATCCCCAACCCTCCCACCCCATACCCCATAGATACTTAGACATTTAGAGTCCTGTTCGCAGCATCTGTCATGTCAGGAGAGCGCTTTTTTAATAACTAGGGGTAGGGTGGTATTGGGGAGAGTGGAAAAGTTAGAAAATCTAGACTGGGGGCCAGAAGGGATACCCAGAAGTGAGGCAAGTCAGGTGGGAAACAGGGTGAGCTGCTGGTGGGGGCTGACCCCTCTGCAGGCACTCTGACTGCTGTCATGTGAGGACCTCACAGGGGGTCTGAGGCCTGGGACCCTTCCCCTCACACCTTTTAGCCACTTAATCCCCCCCTGCCTCCAGCCCAGAGCCATGGAGCTGAGGGTGTGGGTCAGACCCCAGAGCCTGTTCACTAGTGTGTCCTCGGGCCTGCCTGGGGGTAGGGCCCAGGAATCTGCAGGCCACCCCTGGATCGGAAGCATGGCCTTCTCTCCACTGTGCACAGCTACCACCCTCAGCTCACAGGGCACATCCATAGCTCTGGGGCCCAGTGGCGACCCCAGGCCACTGCGCCTGGGAGGGATGCTGGTCCCTGTTCCGTGAGAGAAGCAGCCTCTGTGGTCAAGTGCATCTCAGAAGTGCCCTGAAGCCAAGATGCACAGGTTTCTTGACTGTAGGACTTGCGGGAACTTCTGTTACAGCGTTAAGCATTGTGGTTCCCCAAGGTGGGGATTCCCTCAACTAACTTGACCACAGAACCTCGTCACTTTTCTTCTTAGAATTCTAGTCCTAGGGAACAGTTTGGGAAATATTGCTCCTCCCGCTCGGTCCCTGTCCCCTCCCCCAGCCGCAGCCCCAGCCCTAGCCAGGACAGCTGAGAGCAGATGCAGTCCTTTAGGAGGAGGGCAGGGTGGGATGGGGGGCAGTGGACCCCAGGTCCCGCCAAGGCCTCTGGCAGGGATTCCAGGTCCCTTTCACAGCTGTCAGGCCCTCCATTCCTGCCAGCCTTGGCCAGCCCAGAGCCCTTGGACCTGTGTTCCTCTCAAACCTGTGTTCATGCTGGCTTTGGGGTTGGTTTGTAGGGAAGATGGTGAGTTGGAAGAAGGTGAACTGGAAGATGATGGGGCAGAGGAGACCCAGGACACCCCTGGAGGCCCTGAGAGGAGCCGGAAAGAAAAAGGGGAGAAGCACCACAGCGATTCTGACGAGGAAAAGTCTCACAGGAGGCTGAAACGGAAGCGGAAGAAAGAGCGCGAGAAAGAGAAGAGAAGATCGAAAAAGAGGAGGAAATCTAAGCACAAGGTAGGTCCGGAGGGTTCACGGGCCTGGGCCTGGCGGAGAGCCCCAGGGGCCGAGCTTGTCTTGTCAGGCCAAAGAGCACTCCTAATAGTGTTGTTTTTTCCTTCCTCAAATTGGATCAATAGCTCATGCTCCATTGCTGCTAAATGCCCGTAGGTAAGGTGTTTCACGGAGAGCACAGAGCCCTTCCGGCACATTCCAGCAGTGCTGTCCCCGGGGCTGACTGCCAGAGTGACCTGCCTGCAGCAGAATCGCTAAGTGCACTTCCCCTGTCATTGCAGCGCCACGCATCTTCCAGCGATGATTTCTCCGACTTCTCCGATGACTCAGATTTCAGCCCCAGCGAGAAGGGGCACCGCAAGTACAGAGAGTACAGCCCCCCGTACGTGCCGGTGAGTGACTGCTGGTCAGGGGCTCCATGGAGTAAAACTGTGCTTTACTAAGCACCTTGCCCTATGCTGGGCATTCTTGCATGGCACTTGACACGGATTTTAACCTTGCAAGATTAGGTGTTGTCTATATATATATATTTAATGTATTTTTATTGATTTTAGAGAGGAAGGGAAAGTGAGAGAAAGAATCATCAATAATGAGAGAGAATCATCGATTGGCTGCCTCCTGCACATCCCCTACTGGGGATCAAGTCTGCAACCCAGGCATGTGCTCTGACCTGGATTTGAACCGTGACCTCCTGGTTCATAGGTCGACACTCAACCACTGAGCCACACCAGCTGGGCAGATTAGGTGTTGTCTTTATCCCCATTTTACAGGTGAAAAAACCGAGACTTAGAAAACTTCAGCCAGGTTTCACAGCCCTGAAGTGCAGGAATGGGGGTTTGAACCCAGTTCGTGACTGATCTCTATAAGCCATGCTGTTAGCACTTCTCGATGCCACCTTTTCCTGTGGCCTTTGCCGTGTGTCTCCTATCCCCTATCCCCGGGAAAGATGCTGACTTGTCCCTGTCATAGCTGACTGTTTGACACTGTTCAGAAATGACTTTTGTGGAAAATTAGCAAGAGAATGAAATGGTTATAGGAATAAATTATATCTCTGACCTTAAGCAAACATAAAGTTAAATGATCTATTCGGTTAGTATGATATCCATCCCCCCCCCAGCAAAACTGATAAGAAAAAACATTAGCATAGCTTTTTGAGTTTTAAAAATACTTTCAAAGCTAGTAGCTCTTAAAGATGCCCCAGTTATCATATGACTCAGCACCATCCATTATTACAGATAATTTATTGTAAGGCTTAGTTGACATTGATCTAACGGAGATTCAGACTGTAAACCTGAGGGAGGCAGGGAAGGGAGGAAGCACTGTGAGCTTTAATTGGGAACTGGTGTCAGGGCATTTTAAGATCTGCTGAAGTAGTTGTGTGTGTCATTCTACCTATGTTTTGTATTTTCTCTCTCTCTCTCTTTTTTTTTATAATGAGTGTGGGTTATTTAAATTAATAGACTGTTTTTTAAAGCAGTTTTAGGTTCATAGAAAATTAAGCAGATAGTACAGCTCCCTCCTTACCCCACCCCGTTTCTCTTGTTTTTAACATCTTGCATTAATGTGGTTGATACATTTGTTGTAATTGAGGAGCCAATATTGACTCATTATTAGAGATCATACCTTTACATTAGGGTTTTATAGTTCTTTGGGTTTTAACAAATGTATAGAGTATGTATTCACCATGCACTATCATATAAAATAGCCTCAACTCCCTAAAAATCCCCTCTGCTTTCCTCCTCCCTGAGCCCCTAGCAACCACCAGTGTTTTTACAGTCTCTAGAGTTTTGCCTTTCCCAGAATGTCAGTCAGGCTCATACAGTTTGTAGCCTTTTCAGTTGGCTTTTTTCAATTAGCAGCATAGTTTACGGTTCCTCTGTTTTTCATAGCTCCATAGCTCATTTTTTTTAAATTGCTGAATAATAAATGCTCCATTGTCTGGATGTGCCACAGTTGGTTTATCCATTCATTGCCTGAGGACATTTTGGTGGCTTCATCTGTGTGTGTGTGATATATAAAATATATATTTAACTTGATCCCGTATCTCCTGGCACCAGCACACTTTGGAAAGCATCATTTGAAATGGCTTTCTAGTTTGGTTGCCAAGCAGGTAATTAATTGAATTCCAAGACCCCAGGAAACTTTTGACCAGGAAGCACCCCTTCTGCCTACCAGGCCTCCTCCCCAATGAGATTGCTC